TCCATTTCTACTCAAATCCTTCTCAATACAAAACCATCTATATTTCTAACCATTTGGACGGCATAACCCCTTAATTTCTTCACATTTCCAACCTAACCACAACCATTCAACTTATACCAATACACTTATATATCACAATTTAGTCCATTCATCCCATTTAAGCCACAATATAATCAAATACATATCAACTACTAGCATATATACCATACATAGGAAAACCCCAATTTATACCAAAACCTAAAAACCGAAAATTCCACAAATGCTGAAATTTCCTTCAATTAACCACCATTAACACACCAAGGCTCTAAATCAAGCCATATAAATCCATCACACTCAACTCAACCATGAGATATCATATAAACCAGAAAATTCCTCAATAAATAGAAAATTAACATAACTCAACCATAAGTCTTGAAATAATCCCCAAAATGGCATCTTTAATCACTATCACCTATAAATTTCATCTTACAAGCAACAAAGAAACAATTCCATATTTAATTACCTTACAAATACTTGATACAAGGTAGATGAAAGTCCCTCTCTTCAAACAAAATCCACCAAGTACTTCAAACACTCCTAGCAAGCAAGTTTTATGGAAAGATTTGGGAGATTAATGGTTGGTTTACAAGATTTGGCAAGGAAATGAAGCAAAAGTTGAAGAGCTTCTCTTTCTTTTTCTCTCTAGAGCAGCCGGCCAAGAAGGTAAGAAATGAAGAGGAATTTTGGTCAAAAATTGAATTAGTAAAGGTGTAGGAAAAGTCAAAATCCAAGGTCCAATGAAATTGCAACATTTGTCTTTCAAGCTTATCTCTTTCTTTTGTCTTACAACACTTAATTATACTAACTAACATCTAATTAACTCATAACACTAGGTAATAAAGCTTCCGTATATAAAATTTCCAAAAACTACATTTAACTGCACCGATCGTCTTAGTGGGTCCCGCAACCACTGTACACCCTTACTAGCACAGAATATAACCTAAACCCAGAAAATGATGCATGTGAGAACCCTCATTTTAAAACACAATTTCCTCAATTAATTGCCTTATTCTAGGATTTAAATCATATATTATATGCCCTTACATTAGCTTTTCTAGGTGTTACAATAATTTTCATGCATTACACTTCATTCCTTTTTACTTGAAGAAAAAAACATTTTTCTTGAATTGATTTTAATTATACACCACTTACATTTTACCAAGTGTCTTTATATTAGTGGTAGAAATCTTACATGTAGGATTATAGGTGTTAAAGAATTATTGGTGCACTTGGAAAGATTAGTTAGAAGTGTTAAAGTATTATTGGTGCACTTGGAAAGATTAGTTAGAAGTGTTAAAGTATTATTGGTGCACTTGGAAAGGTTAGTTAGAGGTGTTAAAATATTATTGGTGCATTTGGAAAGGTTAAGACACCATTAGTCAAAGATTAAGAGAGAATTGGACAAGTAAGTGGACATGTGGCAAAATCCTAGCCAAGCATCTTGTTGGAACCAAGATTAGAAGACTATATAAACTAGCCAAAGCCTTTTTTTTTCTTGAGTGCTGGCCGAAATTCTGGTTCAAGAGAGAGAGAAAAAGTGAGCCACATAATCTTGTTTTCTTACTCTAGCAAACCAAGAACAACAATCAAGAGAGAAAAAAAAAATCTGAATTAGTGAGAGAGTTGCTACAACTCCAAGTGCTTGATCCAAGCTTGAGGACTTACTTTGGTGAAGTGATTTTGGTGATTCAAGCTCACTATAAGAGAGGTATATGTTCTTTAAATCCTTGTTTTGATGATAGATCATGCACTTGAAAGTGTTAATGGCAAAGATACAAGTTGTTTGGTTGAGATGTTGAGTTAGTTTCTTGAAGTAAATAAGTAGTAGCTAGGTTTCTTAGTATGCATACCAAGTGTATGATGAAATGTTTGATTCTTGTTCATGTTTGTTTATGAGGTATTATTATGTTTTAAACCTCTTTTGAGCTAGAACTACCACTTGATATGATGATTGAGTAGAAAACATGTAAGGATGAAGATTGAACAAATGTTGAAAAGTGTAGGCTGGTTGCTTTGTCTAGGCTGGCCGGTTCTTGTAGGAGGGATTTCCCCTCAATCTTGTTGTTAAATTGTGTCCTAATCAAGCCTAATAAACTAGGTTAAATATTGGTTAAGCCTATGAGCAAGTTGGAATGGAGTTGAAGCAAGTAAAGTGGTAATTTTGAACCATTAGTAGACTGTTTTAGGACTCTTGTAGTTATGGGATCATTATGGCTACCTTAGATCGTGTTGTATATTATATTGTGAACTCCATTGATTCTAAGTGACTTGAATCCTTGTATATGATTACTTGAGGAGTGAATTGGGTGAATTTGGATCAAAACTAATGAAGTTAGCCCTAGAACTAGAGTAGTTTGGTATAGGATTAATGTTGATCCAGGGTTGGAAAAACAGCCACCTTGTCTGAATTACTGTTGTTGATAGGAGATGAACCACGGTGTGATCTTGGTACCGTTGGAAAGCCCTTCGAGTCTAGTTTCCAACGCCACTGACGGCACCTAATTTCTACTTTTCTACAGTGAGTTATGACCGTTTTCCTAAGACTGCCAGGGCATGACTGTGCAACCCGAGAAGAAATCCTTAAGCATAATTGGAACTTTTCTTTTGCCAAACTTTCATGCACCTACTAAACTTGTTTTCTCATGAACTTTTACCATAGTTTGGACCTTGTTTGCATGACGGATTAAGTAGCTTAGACTACTCACTTGGTCTCTTATTAAGCCTAACCTAGTGGGGCATGAATATAATTGTTAACGATTTCACTCGTTGCCCTAGGTTTGGGAAACGAAGGTGACCGTAACTAAGACGTTTGACATCGATTGCTTCTTTTGATTGACAGGTGAGTGTTCCACTACCTGCTACCTGCTTATGTGAAATATTTGAATACTTGATTTACGACTGTTTGAGCCAAACTCTGATTTGATAAAGTGGAGGCGAGGGTGTACTTTATCGCACTCGTCCTCCTTCATTTTCACTGAGGCTCTGTATACTGTTATTGTGAAATGTGAATTCTCTATATGTGACTGTGCTTGAGTTGTGTGGGTGACATCCCATCAACTACTACTACTGTTTGGGTACCCAACCTCATAGGCGAGTCGGTTCTATCGAGCCAGCAAGGGCTTGGTCGAGAAGGCCGATAAACCTTGAGGACTGTTTACTGTTCACTGAAACCGGTATACTCGAGTATTACCTAACTACTGTTTATGAAGTGCGGGCCCGGTGGGGGGTTGATTGGTGGACGGAGACAGGTGAAAGTGGTGTTCTACGGACTAAATATTCTGTGTATACAAGTGTTGACGGAGTGTCAACGAAGACATTTATGATCAAGCTCAAGGGAATTTTGGCTTTTGAAAGCCACCCGTATCCTTGAATTGAATTGTGGATTAATTGTTATTGCATTAGAGGATATTTACTTGATTACTCTATGCCTTAATTTGACTATGTGTTTACTTGTTTTACTTGGAACCTCACTGAGCTTTAGCTCACCCCACTCCCTTTGTTTTCCTTAACAGATCGGGGATGGACTAACGGTCAAGAGCTTGCTTAGCTTTGTTTTGCTTGAACTTGTAAATTTTATTAAGATGACTTTACCTTTTACTGTTGTAAGCCTGAATTTCTAAGTTTGACTTATGTTATGAAATTGTAGTATGAAGTGGTAAGTGTGACTCTTAGCTTGCCATATTAAGTTTGGAAAGTTGATTGATAGTTATGTGTTATTAGGGTTGTATAATTTAATTTGAAGTTATTTTCCCAGTTATTTTGAGTTGCTAGTTCTCTGATCGACTGAGTCCCGGCGAGAGCTGGGCAGGCAGTCCGCTGATACCCTAGGGTTCGCCCTAGGGAGAGGTGGGGCTGTCACAGTTGGTATCAGAGCCTAGGTTTGAATTAGCCTGGGCAAATTAGAAATTTCCGATTTGAGGGTTATATTTCATTATTTTTCCTTAAGAGTACTAAAGTTTATCTACACTTTTGTGTAGGATGGACGGACCTAGCGGCCATAGTGATAGTCCTGTTGGTGAGAAGCCCCAAGGAGTACTCCCCATGATTAAGTATCAAATCCGGTCCGGAGGAGCTAGAGTTTATTGGAGCCCGTCAAACCGCTATAGGCGTTGCAAGTGCCGTCTTACTTATGCCTACCCTAATGAAGTAGTATTGGCGGTGGTAAAAGAGCGTAAGGAGCTTGCCAGGGATAATGCTAGGCTTGAAGCCGAAGTGAAGCAACTAAAGGAAGCCAATAAGATGCAAGCCGAGCGGCTTAAGGACCTCGAGTATGATAACGTCGAGGGCCAAGAAAGGATTGACGATCTTTGCGCACAGTTGGAGGAAACTCAAGAACGCATGGTGACTAGGACCATGAAGGTGAGGACTAGGGCGGAGTCCATTCTGAATGTTTGTGACGACCTTCTAGGAGAAGCAAGTGATGAGGCTTCTTATATGGATATTGGCTCAGAAGATGAACCTATTGAGAGTGGGGGGTCAGCTAGTCCCGCCACTGACTAGGTCTTCACCATTTGGCTAGGATAGTGGATGATTTTGACATTGTACATAGACAGGTTAGGGGATGTGGTGACCTGGTGGTTGTATAGCTCCTTTTGACTACTTGTGTTAGGTTTTGCTTGGTATGACTATATCTGTACTTTTGAGGGCTCGTACTTTCTATTGTGGTCTCGTTATCTTGTAAGTGACTACTATGCGCCTTTTAATGTATAATACTTTGACTGTTGACCTTGATCTTTGACTGTTGACTGTTGACTGTTGATCGTTGACTTTTGACCTTTGACTTTAACCTTGACTTTGACTTTATTCCGTCATTAATTTTAACTGCGGTGCATTTCACTTGCTTATCGTGATTCCAATCTTGATTTCCTATGTGACTTTTCATTATATGTAATCATCTTTCGTATATCATATTCGCTCACCCGATTAGTTGTCATACTTGGGCACTAGGCCATTGAGTAATAATGGAAACGAGACAAAGACGTACTCGGGGCCGTGGACGAGAACCCAGGCAAGTCCAAGATCAAGGGGAGGAACAAGGTTCGGTGGCGAATCAAAACCAGGAACCCCGAGGTGATGGAGGGGACCAAGTAGCAACAGCTATTAATCGAATGACTGATTTGTTGGCCCGCTTGGTTGACCAGCAGGGTCAAGTACCTGGTAACCAACAAAGGGACCCCGAAGTAGGCGAGGATAGGGCCCTGGAGCGGTTTCAAAAGTTTGCCCCTCCAAAATTTCTTGGAGGACCTGAACCCGAAGTTGCCGAGAATTGGTTCGAGCGAATGGAGGATATATTCGCCGCGTTGCATTACTCTGAAGAGAGGCAAGTTACCTTTGCCGTTTTCCAGCTGGAAGGCGCGGCCCGTTCCTGGTGGAACGTAGTAAGGGCCAAGTGGGAAAGGGAGCAAACCCCACGTACCTGGTTAAACTTCACGAGGGAATTCAATGAGAAATTCCTCCCACCCTTAATTCAGGAGAAAAGGGAGGATGAGTTCATTAAACTGCGCCAAGGCACTTCAAGTGTGGCAGAGTATGAGACGCAGTTCACCCGACTTTCCAAGTTTGCCCCAGAATTGGTGGTAAGTGAGCAAAAGCGTATAAGGTGGTTTATACAAGGTTTGAATGTAGAAATCCAAAAGGATTTGGCTGCCGCTCAAATTGACACCTTTAAGGATGCGCTTGAAAAGGCTCAACGTGTGGAGCAGGCCCGATCTCAAGTTCGGACCTTTCAGGCTAAGAAGCGTGGTGCACCCACCAGTACTCCTGGCCGAAGTGATCAGAATGTGCCACCTCCGAAGTTTGGAAAGGGTACGAGTGGAGCCCGAATTGCGGGGACACCAAGAGGTGGAGCTTCTTCTAGAGGAGCTCAAGGTGGAAGGGGACAGGGACAACAGAAAACTGTCTCCCTAGGAGTTCCCGCACCCACCACACGTGTAAGCTGTGGATATTGTGGTAAGCCAAATCATACCGAAGACAATTGCTGGAAAAAGTTGAAAAAGTGCCTTGTTTGTGGAAGTTCTGAGCACCAGATTGCCACTTGCCCTGTTAAGAATCGTGACGGGAACGTGGGTACCCAGTCGGAAAAGTCAAACCCTAAGCAACCTACCGCCAGTGCTAGTCGACCCAAAACCTCTGCTAGGGTTTTTGCTTTGGACCACCGGCGAGTTCCGGATTCATCGGAAGTAGTGGAAGGTACGATCCCTATATTCCACCGCTTAGCTAAACTTTTGATTGACCCTGGGGCAACCCATTCTTTTGTGAATCCTGCCTTTATGTGTGGTATTGCTGTGAATCCTGTTAAGTTGCCATATGATTTAGAAGTGAAAACACCCACTGGGAATCAAAGCCTGATTACCAATATGGTCTATAAAAATTGTGAGATTTGGGTAGGAGAACGGAAGTTAGTGGGTGACTTGATAAGTTTAGACCTTAAGGGATACGATGTAATTATAGGCATGGATTTGCTAGCCCGTTATAACGCCCAATTGAACTGTAAAACAAAGGTGGTAGAATTCTCGATACCCGGAGAGGCAACTTTATGGTTGGACGTGAGGGGTAGGTTAGCCTCGTCTGCACTTGTTTCGGGAATCCGAGCCAGAAAGTTGTTGAGTAAGGGGGCGCAAGGCTACTTAGCCTTCTTAATTAATACTCCTGGAGATAAAGTGAAACTGGAGGATTGTGAGGACTCGCAAAATCCTTACATATTTCTCAAAAATTCCCTTTTATTTGAAAATTATTATTTCATGTTATTCATGGTTCAATCACCCTAGAAAAGTGCCAATGACCATAGGAAATTAGGGTTTTCCTATTCGTTTTCAATTCAAGGTGAAATCGGATTTTTCGTGTAACCGTAGTATAATTATCCGGTACCGAGTAAGGATCAAATTTGGTGCTTAAGAGTGACTTTTAAGTGAGAAATAATATGTGATTAGGAGCAATGATATAAAGTTGGTGAATAGGAAGTAAAAATCCTAGTACGGGGGATTTAAGGAAAAACAGTGCGAACCGACGTGTACCGGGTACTACCGATTTAACCACCACTTGACCACCACTTTCTTGCCATACAAGCTTATCACTAATTGAGCAAAATATCTTCCCTCTCATGATTACTTATTGACCAAAATATGTGGCCCAAAATGCAAGGAAAGAAAGAGAAAATTGTGTGGTTGAGGTTGAGCCAAGTGTTGGCCAAACTTGTGGTTAGAATTAAGTCTTATCTTTCTACCTTCTTATAAGACAAACTTAGTTTAATCTCCTTCATTTTATTCTTCATCTTGGCTGAGCAAGAGAGGGAGAAAGGGAGAGCAAGAGAAAACAAATTCCTTCTTGATTTACACCAACCAAGTGCTAAAATCGAATTCTAAACCGATTGATTGTAAGTTTGGAAGCTTGGGAAGCTAAGGGAACCAAAAACTTCAAGAAATAGTGGAGGATCACTCTTGCAAGCCTTCTTTTTGAGGTATAAAATCTGATCTATGGCTTTGATCCTTTTATTCTTGTTTAAGATGTTAAATAGTCCATGTTTTGGGTTTGATTACAAGTGATGCAAGTTGTTGTGGTGATTTTTGGATGAAATATGTAAGTTAGAGTTTGATTAATTTCTGCCTAAACTTGTTGTATGGTTAGTATATGTTGTATATAAGGTTATATAGGGGGTTTTGGTAGCAAGTGTATCAAGAAATTAAGAAAACTATCATTGAAACCAAAAGATTTCAGATTTCTGGAAATTTTCATCCTATTCTGTCCGAATTTGAATCCCTATGTTAGAGGCCGAATTGGCCTTAGGTCAAAGAAGGAAAGTTGTAGAGAATGGTATTTTATAGGTTCCTACAAAATTTCAGCTCAATCGGAGCAACGTAAGATGTAAAAAGTCCAAAATACCCTTACTGTTTTAAGTATTTCCCAAGCAGTCCGTGTGATCAGTTAAGTCCAGTTTATCACATTTTTCGACTAGGATCCATTCTGATTTAGCATTTTTCCAAAACATGAAAGTTGTAGTATTCTGAATTAGCTTTCAAATGCCTCTAAGAACACCTGATTCGGACTTGTGTACTCTGAGATATGTCCATTACAGTGTTCTACGTTTAAACAGCCGACGAATTGGTTTCTGGTTTAGTAATTTGCGAATTTGACTAAGTTACATTAGGAACTGGACTAAGAGACCTTCATGAATGTTGTAGCCCTGTGTCTTAGCTTCGAAACGGCATAATTTTCATCCCAATCTGATAAGTGTAACTCCGGTTGTGACCATTATGCATGAACCCGTCAAAACTGTCTTTTGTCAAATTGCATTTCCGCACTTGTTATTACTTTGATTTTTGTTCTTATATTGTCTTGAGCCTATGAAATGGCTATTATGATGAGTTTGTGCTGTACATGACTTTGGGTTTGGCTGAAAAAAAAATCATGAAGCCATAAATGGCTGAAAAATTAGGTAAACACAAAGGGCATGCTGCCCAAATTTTCGCCCGAAAGCTAAGTTCTATTTGAACTTGTATAATACTATGACCGTTTTTCCATCTTAAAAACACGATCCTTCTTCAATTGGAAACTCCAAATGTTTACTTACTCTTACCAAATAAAGAGGAGTAGTTTAGGATTTTCTTGAGTATTTTGTCCTCTCTTTTTCATGAATTTCATTGAGACAATTAGTCTACAATATCTACTTGAATATGAGATACGTTTCAACCATATAAACGATTCCAAAAACGGTATTTCTTAGTCTATCTAGTTGGATTTTGACTTGTCTTTAGTTCAAGTGTTTCCATTAGAAAATTTTATAACCCTTTTGAGTTTGGTTTTATGTGTGGTCTATGAAACCCTAGTTATTTTTGTCCACGGGTCCAAATGTCCTCGTTCCACTTTAAAGTCTTTTATTACGTTCTACTCATCATTCGTCGAGCCTCTTTGATTGCACCTAATTGGTTGTGATAAATGAGCTGTAATATTCTTTTCGTTTAATCTTAGGTTTTCTCGGTGATTAAAGATAATATCCGGAGAGATATTTTGCCATTGTTTTTCATACGTAGGTGAGTGTTCTATATACGTTTTGTTTCTATGACTATGTGGATTGTTGGGTCTATGTGATTATTTGTGACTATTTGATTAAATGTTACTTGTTTTCTATGATTTCTAAAATGAACTTTTTCTAGGTGAGTGTGTATTTTATCGCACTCGACCTAAATAAATATGAAATTTTCAATGATTTAATGATGGAAACATTAGTTGCGCATGATGTAAGCCTTTTGGCTGAATTGGGCCCTGCCCTTCGTTACCGATCGACTCGAGCCAGAAGCGGACTCGGTCGGGCGATATGGTGACCTTGGGTGAATTTGGTATACTCGAGTATTACCTTGTAGTCCGGCTACGTCCGGATGGGTGGAGTCCGGCCAATGTCCGGATGGGTGGAGTCCCGGTCAACGTCCGGAAAAGGGGATGAACGAACAAAAGGATGAACGAGGGATTCTACTTACAAAAAATGTATTTTCAAACGATTGGAGGAATAAGGGGAAATGTCAGGGAACGAACGAACAAACAAATAGCTCCTCGTGAGCCTGTATCCTTTTAATGAATGTATTATCATTGCTTTATATTGAACATGTTTTCTGGATTAAATGTTATTACATGACTAATGTTCCTTGTTTAATTACTTGTTTATATACATAGAACCTCACTGGGCTTTTTAGCTCATACCACGTCAATTGTTTTCCTTAGCAGGGAAGGCGAGCAAGGACGAGCGTTCTGTATAGTCTAGTTGATCTAGTTCTTTGGCCTTGTAATGGTTCTCGCCCTAGTGCTTGGCACGGGCTGGTTGTATGAGGAATGAGAACCCTTGTATATTCGATGTTTGTACTTGAATGGTAAAAACTTTGAAGACTTCTGGTGTGTAGAAGTTTCTTATCTTTTACTTGAGCATCTATTGTCTATGGATGTATATACATGATTTGAGTTCCATAGTGAGTGAGTCCTGGCGAGAGCTGGGCAGGCGACCCGCTGAACCCTGGGGTACGCCCTAGGGGGAAGTGGGGCCGTCACAAGGATGTTGTAGTAGTGAATGAATTTCCTGATGTCTTTCCCGATGAGTTGAAATCGATGCCATCAGAAAGGGAAATAGAATTTAAGATCGATTTAGTACCTGGAACTGCTCCCATTGCAAAAACGCCATACCGAATGGCCCCTGCCGAACTTAAAGAGTTGAAACTGCAGTTACAAGATCTGTTAGAACGAGGGTTTATTCGAGAAAGTGAGTCACCGTGGGGGGCACCAGTGTTATTTGTTAAGAAAAAGGATGGTAGTTTAAGACTGTGCATTGACTATCGTGGCCTAAATGATGTTACGGTGAAAAATAAATATCCCTTACCACACATTGATGAATTGTTTGACCAACTACAAGGGGCAGTAGTTTTCTCTAAGTTGGACTTGAGGCAAGGCTACTACCAGTTACGAATTAGGCAAGAGGATATACCGAAGACTGCCTTTAATTCCAGATATGGTCATTTTGAGTTCGCTGTGATGCCTTTTGGTTTAACGAATGCCCCTGCTGCATTTATGGATTTAATGCATCGAGTCTTTAAACCCTACTTGGATCAATTTGTTGTAGTATTTATCAATGATATTTTGGTGTATTCCAAGACTCGAGAGGAACACGAACGGCATTTGAGGATAGTTTTACGGACCTTAAGGGAACATCAGTTATTTGCCAAGTTTAGCAAATGCGAGTTTTGGTTGGAGCAAATTTCTTTTCTAGGGCATATAATATCTAAAGATGGAATTTCTGTGGATCCAGTGAAAGTGGAGGCTGTAGCTGAGTGGAAACACCCGGAAACCCCGACTGAGGTCCGTAGTTTTCTAGGTTTAGCCGGGTATTACCGTCGGTTTATCAAAGATTTCTCCAAGTTAGCCGGTCCTTTAACCGACCTGACCAAAAAGCATGGTCAATTTGTCTGGAATTCTAAGTGTGAATCGAGTTTTCGGGAATTGAAGAAAAGATTAACGTCGGCACCTGTTTTAGCTTTACCAAATGGGAGAGATAGTTTTACGGTATATACGGACGCCTCAAGGGAAGGTTTGGGGTGTGTTCTAATGCAAAACGGGAGTGTAATTTCCTATGCCTCTAGGAAGTTAAAACCCCACGAGCGAAATTACCCCACTCATGACTTAGAACTGGCCGCTGTAGTTTTTGCATTAAAGAAGTGGAGGCATTACTTATATGGAGTGACGTTTGAGGTGTATACCGACCATAAGAGTTTAAAATACCTATTCTCTCGGAAGGAGTTAAACTTGAGACAGCGTCGGTGGGTGGAATTTCTTGAGGATTATGACTGTACAATTAACTATCACCCAGGCAAGGCTAATGTTGTAGCGGACGCTTTAAGCCGACAAGTGCAAATAGCTGGATTGATGGCTAAGGAATGGAATTTGCTGAAGGAAGTGAGTGAATGGAACCCGCGATTAGACCGACAGAGGGT